ATACTGAAAATAACCGGAATGTGACTCTTCAATTCTACATGGTGATGAAGCAGACCCTATAGCCAGTAGGACACTCTCCTCTAATTATTATCTACTCTTGGTAAAATTCACAGATTTTGCAATTCTTTGAAGATTCTTGTAAACTAATTCCACAAGAAATCAAGTCATTACGGTACAAGATGGCAGACGGCATAAATTTGTAAAAATTAAATCTGCAAAATAAATTTTTAGGCAAATTCGCAAAATTTACAGCTATGTTGTGTTGCCTGTCTCACCTTGTCTTGACTGAAGTCCTTTTTTTAGATTTAGATTTAGCTTTAGATTTTGATGTGCGTGGGCGATAAAAAATGACAGAGGGAACCTATTGATTTGAATTATTTACAAACTCTAAAAAAACATAAACTTACGACATTCTGTGGGTTCCTTGCGCTCACAAAGTATCTGTTCAAAAGACTCAGCCTCCAAAAACTTGAAATGCTCGAAGAAAAAGTAGCCATTTTATTATGGCCACGCCTACAGTTAAAATCTACTTGGGCGTGGCTCTAAAGCTGAGATGGCTGTTGCAAGAATCTTGTTTCTCCTTGTTTTTCTTATCGGCGAGTCCTTCTCGGCTCATAACTGTAGTCTTGATACTATTCATAGTAAGTACGGAGTATAGAATCGAGCGCGAGTGGTCCAGACTAGTATTATCCTTGTCGCGGCTTCTTTTATATAATTTCAACTACTTTTAATTGACATCTTCCTCACTCTTACTTTCTCTCTCCTTCTCTCATTCTTCTCTTTCAGAGAACAAGTTTCAAGTTTGCGCTAATCAGTTCAGTACAGTTACAATCGGAGAAAATGCATCAATATATCTTTATTCAAGGTATAGTACATGTACCTCCTTATACATGTACATTGTAGTTTGTACATGTATTTAGTGACTTACATGTATGTTCATATTCAGTATCAATGAAACCTTATCATTTATTTGATTAATTTAGCTTCCTTATCATTTAAAAAACACAAACATATTCTATACTGAAAATACATACACTATCTTAACATACAACCTGTACTGGGGCCAAATTCACAGTTCAATTAGCCAATACTATATACATGTACATGTATGTACATGTACATACATGTACATGTACATGTGATGCATACTACGTATCTATGGATTGTATTTGTAGCTGAGGTTTGGGCTATAGCTTAATGTAGTCCAATTTATTTACTGATGGAGTATTAATTTTATGTACATGTACAAATGTAGATTTAGTGAATTTTCTTTTGTAATTGAATTATTAAAGCACTCAAAACTTAGAATATTACCATGTATCTCTCTCTCTCTCTCTCTCTCTCTCTCTCTCTCTCTCTCTCTCTCTCTCTCTCTCTCTTCCTCCCTTCTATTCCTTGTAGAGATGTTCCTCATAATTTCTCCATTCACAGTATTGAATTGGTAGCTTCATATAAACACGAGGGAATTGTAGATTTTTACGATGACATAGTTAATGTGACAGTCACTGACTCTAGCTTCATAATTGGTTCGGAATTACGAGTTCATGCTACTGGGGCTGGTCGTACTGAGATATCTTTTAATTACAGTAGCAATCAGGCCAGTGACGATGATGAGTATTACTCCAGTATAGACCAGTGAGTCTGATACATTTAATATGTTATAAGTACTGTAATATATATCCTCAAATAAATACCAGGGTAGCAATACAATGGAATTAGTATAAATACGTAAATCTAGCCATCAAATAAGATAGATGCCTTGTAGATACTTCCTTAGATACTTACTTGAAGTCATTTGCACTTATGAATAAGCAAAATACATCTTTGTAAATGCAAACTAAATAAAACAAATGTGACCATAATTGACAAAAGGTACCTTATGGCAGATTTTTAAATTCATCATTATAATGAAAAAAAATCAATCTGTGAGTGCTCTGTTTGACAACCATTGTTTCTGAAAGTTGCATAGTAACTTTTTGCATCCTCTGGAGTAATTTCATGATAAATGGAGCTCAGGAAGTTGGATTTTTAAGGCTATAAAGACCAATTTTCCTATCCGCCATAAGGTACCTTTTGTCAATTATGGTCACAAATATAAAATAAATAAATGTAACTATACATTTTAGTTTCTTTACTTTCTGTTGATTATTTTTTAAAATTCTCTTCATCTTTGCCTTCTAAATCTTTTCTCCTCTGTTTCCTCCTCTCTCTTTCTCTCTTTTTTTAATAATGTATGTGTAAATATACATTATGCTCTATCTTTACTCACTCTTGTTTATCTTTTTTAAAGTTCTCTTCATTTTTGCCTTTTGTCTTTTTTTCTTTCCCCCTCTCTCTTTCTCTTAGTCTTAATCAGTTGGTCCGTACAGTGTCAGTGGTTCATTCCAAGCCTCTTAATATTATCATTGCTGTCGTTGGATGGATATACTTTGCTGCCTGGAGCATCTCATTCTATCCTCAGGTAACGATCATCATGAGCTGACAAGCACTACAATAGTACAATGTACTACGTAGCTTTTTGAGTAACTTTAAAAATTCATGAAAAATCTAATTTTGATCGGAATTAGCTCAAACTTGCTACACAACATAAGAACATGTATATGTATCAGAAAAAATTATAAAAGTGGAGAATTCTCTCTTAGTCATTTTTGACGAAATTTGGCCAAAAACCCTGTACTATAGTACAGGGACTTTTGTCCGATTTTTGAGTAACTTCAAAAATTCATAAAAAATCTAATTTTGATCAGAATTAACTCAAACTTGCTACACAGCATAAGAACATCTATACGTATTTTTAAAAATTAGTAAAATCGAAAAAATTTTCTGGTCATTTTTGGTGAAATTTGGCCAAAAACCCTGTACTATAGTACAGGGACTTTGGCCTGATTTTTGAGTAAATTCATATAAACCACAACTCCTTTAATATGTACTTTAATTGTTCTAGATTTTCCTCAATTTTTATCGTCGGAGTGTCGTTGGTTTAAACTTTGATTTCCTGGCCCTTAATCTCACTGGGTTCCTGGCATACAGTGTGTTTAACGTGGGACTCTACTGGATACCAGAGATTGAGGTAAATTAGGCATACACGTACATGTATGTTTTGAATAATGGTGTGTTGATGAATTGAAACAGAAAATAACTTTATTGTTATGTTGCTATTGTACTATAAACTGTTAGAGATGGAGTGATTAGATTTACATTAAGCCCAACATACACTATGCAATATTTGTTGCAAGCAACTTGTTCCATGCAACACGGTTAATATAGAGAAGTCAAGGTTGAGGTAAATCAGGCTTTATTTTTAGTAATAATCGTGTGCCAATGAATTGAAACAAAAGACAGTTTTATTGTTGTGTTGCTATTGTACTATAAACTGTTAGAGATGGAGTGATTAGATTTACATTAAGTATAATCACAATACCATTAGTTTACTGAGTGTGTATAATGTATTTGTGTTTTTCATTATTCTAGAGGCAGTACTTTGAAGATCATCCAGGTGGTGTGAACCCGGTCCAATTGAATGATGTCATATTTGCACTCCATGCTCTGGCTGCCACTTTATTCACCATCTTCCAGTGTCTGATACTAAAAGTATCGAGGAATGAGAGAGAGAGAGAGAGAGAGGGAGGGAGGGAGGGAGAGAGAGGGGGAGGAAGAAAAATGTAAATAAATACATGTATACCTACATATGTCTGATACAGTGGCGGATCTATGGGGGGGGGCAGGGGGGGCATTGCAAACTATGCAAATTGTAAACTGTGATTGTGGGCATTGCAAATGTAAACTGTGAAGCAGTTGCAGTACTGGACTATGTAAACAATCTTTAAACCACAATAGAGCTCATTTTAACAGGCTTAGTCTTTATAATTTTTACTTCCCTAAAAGTTTTGCACAAGCTTAATTGACCACACCCCTAATTACCCCTCCCATCTCATAATTGCCCCCCAAAAATTAAATCCTAGATCCACCCCTGGTCTGATACTAAAAGTATTGAGGATTGAAGAGAGAGAGAGAAGGAGAAGAGAGAATTATACATGCACAAGGTTGCTGGGTTGGGGGATGTGGTAACTATAGTTTTTTTACATAAAGTTTGTGTGCATCAGTACAGTAGTCAATTGAGAGTTTAAATAAATCTTAATTTTGAGTGAATAAGAGTTAAAAATTTATCTTTGCCCCATTGCCAACCTCCTACTGCTAATAGAGAGAAGGAGAAGGGGAAGGAATAAGACATTATAAGTGGAAGAATATTTGACTTTATTTTTATTTTTCATTTCAGCGTGACAAGCAGAGAGTATCGTTTCTTGCTATAGCCATATTGATCGTACTGTGGGGCTTCATCATTGTGTCTCTTTTTGTTGCTGTTGGGAAGAAATTGCAATGGCTTCAGTTCTTGTATTTTGTGTCTTATGTCAAGCTAGCAGTGACACTAATAAAATATGTACCACAAGTAAGTGTGTGTGTGTTTTAATGGAAATTGTAATTTGTCAAATGATGCCTTTAAGTAGAAATAATGTTTGTTTACTTTTTAGCATGAGACAACAATAGGAGTAGATGTACTGTACAATGTACTAATAGGTACAAACATGTAGACATCCATTGTACATGTATTATCAAATCTCCATGATGGCTCCTGACTGTCTGTATAAGGTTTAAAATGACATGTTTATTTTTGTAAAATATGGCTTTAAAATGCCTACCTGTTATAATTACATGTATGATTTTTATGGTACATTTTTAATGAACTAAAACTTGGTACACATGTGCTTACATGTATACTATACTATGTCCCAACTGAGTTTGACCCAAGAAAAACTGGAATAACTTTTTATAGGAATGTGGCATAAGAATGAGACTTTCACAGGTTCTTAGTCACCCAATGCCATCACAAGATCTCAGGTCTTGGGTCTCTCAGCCCTTGGGAACCCTGAGAACTGGGTTCTTCCTATAAACCCAATGGCATACCAAAATGACATTTTATGACAATTTATCTACGTCATAGTTTATATAAGAACATGTGGTCGAGGGCCCACACTGATAATTCCTCCAATAATTCTTCTTTTAAAAAGCTAACAGAGCACGATCTTCTGATAATGATGGCCAATATGAAGGCTAGTTGACTCTAGCAGCTATTGTACTGCTTATCAGAACAAGCAAAACCCATTTAAGAGTGAAACACAGGCCAACTACGCAGCTGTAAAATGTTGGCCATGCTTCTATGAATATCATTATAAAACGTCATTAGTGATGTATGCTACATTTTTCAAATTCCAAGCGGCTGATGTCAAACTCAGTTGGGATATAGTATTATACATGTACATAGCAAGAATGATGTATCAGAAAATACAATAAAAGAGATTTTTCTCCTAGCCTTTTCGGTGTTTTTTATGTAATGCTTTCTTATTCATTGTAGGCTTATATGAATTTTAGACGGAAGAGTACAGTAGGCTGGAGTATTGGTAATGTACTGCTTGACTTTACTGGAGGAATGCTCAGCATGTTACAAATGTTCCTCATCTCTTACAATTACAGTTAGTCCAAAATGATAATTATGATACTCCACCATTATAATTACAGCTTCTTTTTGGTGATTTAACTCTGTACTTCAATCACTAAAATTTGAATCTTATATTTTGCTTTATCTAAGCATGCTTAATATAAAATCATTGATACATGTACTAACTATACATCGCAATCGTTAATAATAATTTCTGCTATTGTACAATGTATACTGTTTTTATAATAATTATTTTATAATCATTCCATCCTTTTTGCCATATAGATGATTGGAAATCAATTTTCGGTGATCCAACAAAATTCGGTCTAGGCCTATTCTCTGTCTGCTTTGATCTCTTGTTCATGGTCCAGCACTACATACTGTATAGGCATCCTCCAGCACCTGGAGATGGATACTCCAAGATAGAGGAGAGCAAGCCATTGCTTGGAGGAGAAGGTGAATCGTTGGACTCTAATTCTGATGGGCTTTCCTTTCAAATGAAAATGAGAATCTTTGTAGCTAAGATATCAGCTAAACTAGGACTGAATTCCACAACATTTTAATCAGCTCAAAGGACTTTAGCTGCCCTGCTGCACTTTAAAAGTAATTTTTGATTTTGCAGGTTGTGCAAGTTTTGTCATTACATACATACAATAATAATAATAATGATAAATTTTATTTTAATTCTATAATTATTGTTATTTTCTACTCTTAAGTTAAATCGGTCAGTAATAAAAATGATTTAAAGTTACATTTATGTCAAAAACTCTTCATAAAGTTCTTTACTTGCTGATAGACTTTGTCTGCTTTTTCGATGGCATCAATTGCTTGAGAGGTATTGAATGCTCTTGCAGGTACGACTTCATTCTTGTAGCAATTGGGGTAACGCGTTCTTATGTAGTAGTTATCCAATGGCTTTATAGCCTCAAGAAGAAAACCTTTGGGAAAGAAATGGTGCTTCTCCAAATGCTGGGCATTAGGATGGAGTTTGTGATGCCTGCAGTGGAACCTTGGGTCTAAGGAGAGCCGTGCAGCTTTTAAAGACAGCTCCGCAACTTGTTGGGAGAGGAAGCAAACGTGGAATGAAGCCTCTGGGTGGAATGAGAGCGAGTCGGCTAGATTGTGGAGTACCCGCCTGTTTACCCGGGCTTGTTCCAGCCACACCCAAGATGGAGATCCTGGCTTCTCAGTCCGTGATGAAGTGTATATCTGAGTGGATAGTGGTATTTGCAAACGAAACACTGCTCTTGCTAGAGAAAGGACTCCGCTAGACATTGCTGCTGTAGGTAATAGACGTTTTTTGCAAACGGCCCACGAGCTGCAGCATGGCTTGTAGGTGTGGCTCAATGGTGCATAGGGTACTATGGTACTAAAATTAGTAAGTTAAAAAACTCTACCGTTAGAACAGTAGTATCATTTTTATTGTAAATTATTGCTAGAAAAACTGCTAAACTAACTATTCTTTAAAGTAGCTAGGTGCTCCATTACTTGATATATTATTTCATAGTACCCAACAGGAACATCTTCATTACCAGTTCCCTCATCACCACACACTCTTAATTCAAGGTACTCAGTAGTCGTAGTATTACCATAATCCCTGTGAAACCATGGGAGACCTGTAGCATTGCAACAAGCTGTTTCGCTAGCACGACAATCTTGAGCATCCCATAATGGATCAGATGTTTGGAGATTGTACGAGAAATGGTTTGAACCAGGATTATCAGATTCACAGAAGTAATGACTACCAACAAAAGACTGCACTGGAAACCCACCATCAGTTGAACAAGGACAATAACTGTTTGACCAAGAAGCAATCAGTGTCCAGACATGATTATGCTGAGTAGATCCACGTGTGATGCTAACACCATCAACATATGGTCCATTAATGTTATTATGATGTTAATATGTTCATGATTTATGATGTTATTATGTTATGAGGAAAGAAGGAAAGAATGAGAATGGAGGAACAGATGATCTTATTTGTATTTAATAATGATAGACCATGGAAGTCTATTCATGTATAAACTTTGATATGCTACTGTAAAAAAGTAGAAATTAATTTAATACAATGGGAGGAGAGGGGGAAAGAAAAGGATGGCCGGGGAGCAAATTATGAGCATATTGAAATTTAATCTACTTTTCCATGTACTATTAATCGGCTGTCAAAACTAAGCTTGCTGTTTAAAAACCTTATAAATGATTAGGAATATCTTGACTCCAAAGGTAGTATACTTTAACAGTCTTAGCCCATATCAATTTGTCTTTAGAAAACTACATTTTTCAATTGTCTAGTTTACACATTATGACAATAACACTATATGCACATAAGGATTTTCAATCATTAATTTCTAAATAATTATGACCAAAATATTAAGCACACAAAACTAGTACTACATGAATATTTTAAAACCTAATTATAAATCTATACACCGGCATTACTATATTCTATATTCTAAGACTGAAAAGACAACTATTAACTAAATTATTGTTTGTGATTTATGATTACTTGGTCTTGTCTATTAGGTATGAATTATTTGCCTCATTTCAGTCATTTGACATACAACTCATAAGAGTTAACAGGAATATCTTCATTGTCTGTTCCCTCATCTGCACACACCCTCAGCTCAAGGTAGTCAGTAGTGGTAGTGTTAAGTTTGTTATTAAACCATGGAAGACCAGGAGCAGCACAACAATCACCTTCACTGTCACATTCATTACCATCCCACAATGGATCTGATGTAAGGTGTAGACTAGCTAGTGCCCCATTAACATTGGGGTTGCCAGATTCACAAAAGAAATTGTTATCAATAAAATTCTGAAGAGTCAAATTTTGAGGGCTATCAGTAGTACAAGGACAATTATAACAACCGTCATTATGACCAGTCCATGGTGTTGTTCCTGCAGAACCAAACCCAGCCATTAGTGTCCAGACATGTTGACGAGGAGACCCACAAGTGATACTAACACCATCAACATAATAAGAATCAATATTGAGATGATTAGCTTCTACAACAGTTCCATACACTTCATGGGTATAAAGACCAGGATAAACTACTTTAAAGAATAGTTAGCTTAGCAGTTTTTCTAGCAATAATAATAATAATGATACTACTGTTCTCACGGTAGAGTTTTTGAACTTACTAATTTTAGTACCACAGTACCCTATGCACCATTGAGCCACACCTACAAGCCATGCAGGAAAAAAGGATAAAGATCATTATGCTCTAATTACTCTTATACATGTAATCTCATACTAGAGCAGTACTATAGTACATGCTTATTATATAATTCTTTTTTTCATAGGCAGTGTGGTGCTGTCAGAATGTATGATTTTTCAGCAGATTTGTCTGATTATGCTAAAAAGCTGCCATCAATTTGTTCCTCATCTTACGATGAACCATCAGCATCATTTTATAATCTAAACCTTTTATACCCTTATGACATAATTCAATGACAATAATAATAGATCTGGCTTATATATTAAAACCTCAGCTAATATTTTTGTTAGTAAATGCATGTATGTATAACATTCTTGCTATCAATAAAATTTAATGTTAATAATTGAATTAAAAGTATATCAGATATGACAGCATAGATTGATGACAAACAAGCAATAGCTAGTATAAGAAGAGAGAGCATTATTATCCTCTTTGTAATGATTGTTTACTGTTTACTCCTCACTCCTTTTATAATATTCAGAAGAGCCTGACTAGTGACGTCAGAGATTATACGCTACGTATTGACAAATATTCAAAGAATGTGGTGTTTTTACTACACTCATTAGCACATATTAGGCCAGGTATGAGGACATCAGTAATTTGATTGTTAATTGTCTAAATTATTTATTCTGTTATGCACACTTTGATCTGTAAAGGGCAGTAACCCGATTCATAGCGTTTGTTAATTAATAATACTAAAACTGTGATTTTGAGTTGTTAAAATTAATGATGGTAATAATTGTGTTGTGGATTGTTAAAAGTCATTTTAAACAGAATTTTATTTCACAAAGGTATGCATGCTCATGTGCACATGGAGTAATCTGATATCATAATTCAATGAAGGAATAAAAACAACTATAGGCTAATAACTAACTACAAACTACTATTACACTACCAAACTACACTATCAAACTGTTCATTAGTATATCATTTAACATATAACTCATAAAAGCTCACTGGAGAGTCTTCATCAATTATACTACCTTGATCAGCACACACCCTCAGTTCAAGGTAGTCAGTGGTGGTAGTGCCAAGTACCTTATTGAACCATGGAAGACTAGGACGAGATGTGCAACAATTACCTTCAAGACTACCACATCCTTTACCATCCCACAATGGATCAGATGTAAAAAGTATGCCATGTTGACCTGTACCAGTACCACTGGTATCAGGATTACCAGATTCACAGAAGTAGTCATTGCCAATGAAAGATTGAAGAGTTGAGTTTTGAAGACTACCTTGAGAACAAGGACAATTGTGACGACCATCATTAGTACCAGAATAAAAAGTAACTTCATTAAATCCAGCAATTAGTGTCCAGACATGTTGACGAGGAGACCCATGAGTGATACTAACACCATCAACGTAATAAGAATTTATATCATTGTGACTAGCATCAATGACACTACCATATGTTTCACCTTGATATCTGCCTGGATATGCTCCATCAGGGGTACCATACTGATATCCCACTACTCTACCACACACTTGAGAGTAACTGATACCATTAGATGGGAACTGAACTGATGTACAACTGCCTACACTTGATGTTGCTCTACCACAAGCTCTAACTCCTCCTGACTGGTACAATCTAAACCCAGAAGGACAGTTATCTGTAGCATCAGTCATATCCAGATATCCTAGTCTTGTCCATCCTCCTCCTGAACCACACAGCTCCTCCATATTACAGTAAACACTTTGAGTTCCGTTAGTAGCAGTTTTCAGTAAATATACACCAGAAGGACTGTTTGGTTGTTTGTTCTTAATCTCTTGACAAGAAGTAGGGATAGGAGAGAAGGAAGATGAGTCATTGTGTAACATGATAAGGTCTTCCACTAGTAGCAGTATATCATTGATAGCTCCAGCATTAGAGGTAGCAGTCCCCTTAATATGAGAGAGAGAAGAAATGATACTATCCATTTTCTGTTTTATTTCTTGAATATCTTGACCATTTTTTCTGGTAGTGTTGAGTAGTTCATTCAATAGTTCATCATCAGTGTTGTATTGATTGGTATCAGTATTACTGGTATCACTGCATGCAGGTAGTACAGGCTGCAGTACAGGTACTGTTAGCAGCATCAAATGTAAGAGCAAGATTAGAACTACTGATAAACTGAGGGAGACAAGCAATAGCTAGTATAAGAAGGGAGAGCATTATTATCCTCTTTGTAATGATTGTTTACTGTTTGCTCCTCACTCCTTTTATAATATTTAGAAGAGCCTGACTAGTGACGTCAGAGATTATACGCTACGTATCCGCAAATATTCAAAGAACGTGGTGTTTTTACTGCACTCATTAGCACATATTAGGGCAGGTATGATGCTATGCATTGTATGCAATCAAGAGTACATAATACTCTTGATGCTATGTATTTGTAATTATAAATATTCAAAGAACGTAGTGTTTTTACTACTCTGATTAACAAGTCATGTAGTGGTATGACTCAAAGCTAAGTACATGTATCAAAAGAGTCAGGAGAAAACAGTAAACAACCATTAGAGTAAGATCAAGAGTAAAATAATAAAAAAAACG